CCCCCCCCCCCCCCCCTCACCTCCTCACTCTAGCCATAAGCGCGCTTGCTACTTCTGCGCCCGACGCATCCATAAATGCATTCACGCGGCGAGGCGTCCGGATTCCCCGAGACCCACTCTCGCACGAGCTCGGTCACCCGAATGTCCGGGATTGGAGAAAGAGCGACGGCGTCATCGACAAGCGCGCGCGGCAGTCGGCAGCAAGCCGCGCAGCGCTTCCCGTGGCCGAGTTTGGGAAAGGCCTCCTGCCGCCTGCCGCTTCCTGATTGGTCAGGGGAAAGGCGGGCGCAGAGGGCCGAGAGCGCCAGTGAGGCTAATAACGCCTTTGCCTCCAGCGCGGGTGCGCGCGATTTTGGGGGGAAGGAAAGAGGGGGGGAGCTTGGGTCGGCATGGAAGAACTCGATTCGCGGGCATTGGTTGCAAGTCTTCTGGGGAGACGTTTGATTTCCTATGGCCGCTGATGAACTAGTCGGCGATCTAAACCAAAGATGGGTTCAGAACAAGCACTCCTTGAATGGGTCCTATTTGGGCCAATATTATGAAGATTATGATTGAATCTCTTCCAATCTTTTTAATCATGCTCTGTAGTCCATGTTAAGAAAAACTGGCGTTTGATAATTTCTTACTTATTCACTTATTAGATTTTTATCCCATCTTCATTTTTAAAACCCTAGTATTTATTCATTTTCAATCCCGCAAGCACTCTTGTGGAAATATTTTTGATTTAGAAAAAGCTGGTACATGAACCAATACATTTGGGGGGCGGAGTTGCCAGTCACAAGGGACCCATAAAAACCATGTTAATCTGGCTTCATTAAAACATTTTATTTTAGTTTAGTTTAGTTTAGTTTATTATCATTGCACCTCGTACAATGAAATCAAACACCACCTTCAGTGCACATCATGACCATGGAAATAAACACAAACACACATCCTTCACCCTCCACACATTGAACCGAAAACCCCTGACACCGCACCAATACTGCACTATATAGCAGAATTCAAAAGAGCTACTGCCCTGGGATAGAAGCTGTTTTTCAGCCTATTTGTCCTTGCTTTTATTATTCTGTACTGTCTGCTAGATGGTAATAGTTCAAAAAAAGGGTGCCCAGGATGAGATGAATCTTTGAGAATGTTTTGAATTTTCTTAAGGCAGTGGGAGTTATAAAGCTCTTCCAAAGAGGGGAGAGAGCAACCAATGATCTGGGCAATGACGATAACCCTCTGAAGTGCTTTCCTATCTGCTACTGTGCAATTGGCAAACAGAGGTGCAGTAAGTTAAAATACTCTCTATGGTGAAGCAGTAGCAGGTCACCAGCAGTTTTCCATCCACTTGTTGCTTCCTGAGAAGCCTCAGGTAGTATAGTCTCTGCTGGGCCCTTTTGACCAGATTTTGTCTGTACTGAATTGATGACTCCTTTGTCATCAATTTAATACCAACTTAGGGAATTCCCTGCTTCAGACCCAGGCCCTTCCCATACAGTCATTTTATCACACTACTACATCAGTGCATCTGTTCATCTGTATGTATCCCTTTGGTAGATGAGCTGTTCTGAGTTGGCTCAGTTGTGATAAAGAACAATTTAGAAGCGGAACACAGAGATGGGAAGCAATGTCCAGCACACTTCAAACCCAAGAATATCCTAGGCAGAAACTTGTCCACCCCAAGGATAAAACACCTGGACACAAACTGAACAACGTATTATATGTAGTACAATGCAGTTAGCCAGGTGCAGATCTGTACATTGGGGAAACAAAACAACCACGTCATAAATGCATGGCGCAACATAGAACTAACCCATCAGGACAAGATTCAGCACTCCGTCTTCATTTAAAAGACAGCCCACTCTTTTGAAGACAGCAAAGTCCAGATTTTGGACAAAAAAATCTGGTTTGAAGGAGGGGTCAGAGACCATCTATGTCAAAATTGAACAGCCCTCTCTCCACAGCTAAAGGTGGGTCTAGAACTCCCAGTCTGAAATAACAGAATCTCCATTTCTAGGAGAGTACTCTAACTGACTTTGAGAACCAGTTTGGTGTAGTGATTGAGGCACCAGGCTAAAAACTGGAAGATCTTGTGTTCTTCACAAAGCAACTAGGTGATCTTGCTAGGAGTAAAAAAAAAACTGACTTGAAAGCACAATTTGTTTTTTTAAAAAAAGGCTTATTCTCTTTCAAACTTTGCAAGTGGAACTATTTTAAATTCAGCCTGTAACCAAGAATTGATCAAGCCTGCCAGAGTATAAAAAGGAAACCAGCTTGTGCAGGAAGATTAATGAGAGTGATATAGTTCTAGTGAAAAAGTATCAGTGCTTCTTTATAAACTCTGGTGAAATAGACTGAAGAGTTAAACATCTACTTCACATTGGTAGCAAGGCAAATAGATCCAATTATTCTATCCACTCTTGTCTTAAAACATGGTTGATGCAGGAGATACTAGAGGCCAGGTTTGATGTGTGATCAGCCTAACTATGTTCACGCTGGGCAACTCAGTGGTGATTATTTTGTTACTGGCTAAAATGAGTTTCCAAGGGGCCACTGCACTGGTGGTCCATGTGTCTGCATTAACACCACTTTCCAGCTGACTTATGACTGAGCAACAGGCAGGTGTATTAGTTAAGCCATCCAGACCTGTTTCTTAAATTGTGCTTATGTGTGTGGATCACCTTGTTCACCTTGTTTTTGCCGAAACATTCTAGTTAGTATATGTGCTTTCTATTTCTGTTTCATTATTCAGAATATTTGGTGACAGTTGTCAACCATCAGAGTCTACCTCTGAATTCCTTCTTACTCAACCACAGTTGAATTTAATGTGGTTATTATCCTTTCCTTCCTGAACTAAGTTTGCAGTTGGAAAAAATCATTTGTCCTGAAATTAAGCTAGTTGTTTGGCTGGCTGGAAAAAAAATCATTTGTCCTGAAATTAAGCTAGTTGTTTGGCTGGCTTAACAGGGTGTTGCTGCTGGTTTCAGAGGAGGTGTGGATGCCAAATGAAAGCAGCTATGTTTACAGCCAGCTCCAACTTCAACCACATTATTTAGAACAAAAATCAGAGGCTTCAAAAGATACGAGGTGTAAATGGTTGCTTTTATCACCATTTGTACTGCATAGGCATAGGGATGATTTTACTCAACTGTTGAAACTAAGGTATTACTGGGCAATCTAATGTGCCTAGTGGACTATACCCCTGTATCCTGGTGCTTTTTTTATAAGGGGATAGAAAAGGAAGAAGTGACATTGAAGAAGTGATATTTCTTTCTGGAAGAATACCTGGCATATAAGAAGAAGGTCACAGTTTGCATATCGGAACTTCTTCACTGTCTTTGAAGTTTTTCTACAAGCGATTTCAAGAGCTGGTCCTCTAGAGGAAAGTCACTCAGTTTCATAATAGTGCGGTGGATTCAGAAGACACAGCAAGAGATGAATGTAGATTGACCAACCTTCTTTTTATTCAGAAAACTGGAACTTTCATCAATGGTGAACCTGTTATGAGAGAAATGTTCAATGAAAATCACACGGGGTATTCCAGAAATGGCAGTTAAATAACTTTATCAGATAAATTTGAGGTGCTATGAGTTTTCATATAATCATCAAAACTGGAGATTAAATAAATTATTTAAAGAATTTGATTGAGTACTTTAATTAAAACCTAACAAATAACTACAAGGAGGGATCTGGGGGTTGACTAGTCTGTTATACCAAGTGTCTAATGCATGACAGTCTTCCCTACTGAGCAAAAATTCTGAATCTCTAATGAAGATGACTTCCTGACTGAGGTTTGTTTGCTTATGACCAAAGTAATAGAACTGGAGATGTTAGGACAGAGTGAGCTTGTTGACAGAGATAGCAGCATATGACCTATAAGTTCTGACTCAACGTTCATGGAGAATGAACAACACAGGAGGACATTGCTCCGAGACAGAGAGAAAGAATCTCTCAAATAGAATCTGATCCTTGGGAACTGAACAGATATACTAAGATACGCATCTGGGTGAAGGGATATGGTGGATTTGATTATTAGTGACATAGATGGACAGGTACAGTACATGTTGCAATTGACTATATGGTGACTTATTTGCCTGATGTAAAGACTGTATTATGCACTCTCTCGATAGACTGGTAGATAATATTTGTGATGAGCCAACAGTTATGGTACATGTTGGCACTAATAATATCAACAGACAAATCAGAGATCCAGATGAAAATATAATTTGGTCTGTAGGATGGAGAAATCCAGATATTGAGAGGGCTTTATTGGTAATGTTACCTATTTCATATGCAAACCCAATTAGACCAGTAGCTTCTATGCATGGTTGTGTTGGGAAGAATAATTTAAATTTTTGAAGTATTCAAATATCTTTTGAACAAACAAGATTTATTGGGGGGCGGGGTTGGTAACTGTTTAGAGCAGGCATGGGGAACTATGACCCTTTTATGATTTGTAGATTTCAACTCCCAGGATTCCTGAGCTAGTCATGCTTATACACAATGCTAGGATCCTTTAAGCCAAAATAGAACAGATTATACAGCTACGGTTTTGATTTTAAAACTGAGTTATGTAGAAGTGTCAAGGAACTTTTGAGGTATGGTGATAGAATGCCTAGAAATAAACTGCTATAAATGAAAATTTTGCTTTCTTCTCAAAGGATTGAGATTTCATCAAACTGGATAATTAAGACCCATTGAGCAGATAAAATCATTGAGCAGATAAAATTGAGCACATAAAATAATTTAAATTCCTAGGTATTCATTTCAAATTTGCCAAATTCTGGGATCATCAAATAAGAGCTATGAAAGATTGAAAACTATATCTAATGATTAACAGATTTGGTAGTTGGTGGGGGGACAACTTACTCCCTGCAGCAATTGAACTATTTAGGGCCAAAGTTCTTGGTATGCTGCTATATGGCTCTCAGATTGTATTTATATCTAAATACAGACTTTATTCAAAAGATAGAAGTGTGTGGGGAAATAGATAAAGTTACCTTGTATGTAAAGAGGGCCTGGAATCTAAAAAAAAATGAAATAAACTTTTCTGCTGGATTGCTGCCAGCGTCCATATCAGTTCCCTAAAGAAGATTAGTCCCTGGGATGTGTTCTCCCCTGCCCTAAACCAAGAAACTTAGAACAGTCTTTAAATGTAAAATGGAATAAGAGAGGCATCTGAAAAAGAAACAGTAATGGTAAGCACCTTTACATAGCTGAACAAAA